ATGGTATGGGGTATACATTGTGGGTAATACCTGGTTATTATAAATAGGGCCCTTGTAGGGTCTTGTCTACATGATTTTGTGCACATATGCAGCTATTACAGTAGGAACATCCTTAGATGTAGATTTGTGTAGTCAAAAGCATAAGTATTTACAATTTTTTTTAGAGGATTTACAAATTCTTCTTCAAGTAAGCTGCACCCAGTCTACAGTATCATAAAAAAAGTTTTTTGAAAGTGTCCGGTTCTCCACACGTCTGCCAAATGTTTTATAACAACTTACATTTTGAACTTTGTCAATCAGGTGGAAAATGCCATTTCAGTGAAGTTTGAGTCCCGTAATGGAAGACCTTTAAGATTTATTTTCACTCGAATATTGTCTATACACTTTTGAACTTGAGTTTGTGATAATGAGCCCTTCGACTCACTCACATTTAAATTTTGGTAAAAATCTGGACCGGAGTTCTATCTAGGTGTGCAGATGTGAAATTATAGCCAGTGAGGAATTATTTAGCCCAAAGGCCAGCATTAAAAAGCGGACTTGACTTTTTAATGGTAGAGTCTTTTAAAAATTTATAGAGGGATGGATTCCCCTGTAGTCTACCACAGTTGGGAGTCCCAGACTAGCAGTCTCTAACTCAAACCGGCACATGTGGGTGTGTGCCCAAAGTCCCAAGAGGAGAATGGAGAAGGGATTGCAGTGTGGGGAAGGGGGGCTGGAGGGCAGGGTGGTTTCTCACTTTCTGTCTCTGTCCAGCAAGCACACTGGCCCTATAGCAAAACCCCAAAACAAACAAACAAAAACGAACCGGAAAAACCTATAGAGGTACATGGTGGGACATGCTTCAGGTACCCATATTTTAAAGGCATTTGCTATCCTCCTCATGTCCCTCCTTAAAAGGGCTCATCAACACCGGCAGGAAGGAAGCCATCTGAGATGTGGAATGTATGGCCTCCAAGCAGGTGTTAATCCGGATAAGAACAGCCCGGTCTTTACCACGCCACATCCGTCCGCGCCTAGTCTGCAGAGTAAAGGTCTTCCATGACGGATGATTGCTCTAGTCCTAGCTGTTCCTAAATCCACTGCCGTCATTCAGCTGCCGGACTGGACTGTGGGAAGACGGCGGAGCTTGCCACAAGACTTCTTCCAAAGAGGAAATGAAAGTGGGAAGTATTTAAAGGCCTAAATCTGACGCCTCACTACAGTCCTGGGGTCCCTTTGCCTAGCAGTTTGGGACACCTATTCTTTGAGTCCAGTTCACAAGGAAGGAATCCTTTAGCCTGCCAGGAAGGCGGTGGCGTGATCTAACGCGGCTTCCAACAGTCCTAGGTTAACTTGTCCCCGGAGCGCCCTGAACCCAAGCTGGAAGAAAGGCGCTGGAGCAGCGGCAGGTGAAAGTTACGCCGCCGGTCGCTGAGTGCGCGTCTTCCTACTCGGCGGCGCCCCGGGGTTGCTGCGTGGGTGCCGGAACGCTCCGGACCGCAGCGCTCGCCCCAGGAGGAACCCGCAGGGCTGGGGCGGGTGCTGCTGTCTCTGGATTCGATCCCAGGCCAGCGCCGGGGAGTGGAACTCCTACTCTGCGGGCTGACCCCGCGCCCTTGGCAAGAACCGTCATGTGTCAGTGCCGGCTCCGCGCCCTGGTGTGCAGAGGCAGACAGAATAGCAGTGCTCGGTGACCAGTCGGGGAGTGTGAAGTCCACCCGACAACTGCGCCGGAAGAGAAGGGGGAAGAGTCGGCGAGGACAGGACCCCAAGGAAATCCCAGACCTACCCTGGCTAGGGGCGCTGGTGGCCTCCGAAGCGCGCGGCTCTGCGGCACTTGCTGGAAGGCCAGGCAGCCAGGTTCGCCCCTTCGCCCGGTTCAAAGCCAGCAAGTGGGATTTGCCTGGAAAAGTTTGCATCGCGCTTTGCGAAAGGTCAGGGAAAGCAAAAGGAAGCGCAGAGGCACCGCGCGAGGCAGGGAAGCGACGGCTGCAGCCTGGCCGGACCTCCCACCTGATCCTACCCCGTACCCCGTACCCCTACCCCTTCCCCCAACCCCCGCGCCGCCTG